TATATATACATATATATATATAAATATACACATATTTTTTTTTTCCTGAATCTTTAACCTACACAGATCAGGCCACCATCACCCCGCTCCCCAGGAACTCCCAGGCTGAAGGCAGCAGTGGCCTTTCCGCAGTCGTTACCTCTCGTTACCTCACAGGGCACCAGGGGACGGCTGGACAGCGCAGGCCGCTTGGGCCTGCTACAAGGGCAAAGCAGCCGCCAGTGCCCGCACTTACTAACCAGTCCCCGAGCGCAGCTTTCTACCACGGGTGTTTCTACAGAAGTAACACAGCTCTGGGACCAGCAGTTAGCGTAATGGCTATGGACTCCCACGTAGTCGACCATGGTTCGCGTCCCGGACCCCGTGGCTTAAACTCATGCCAGGTGCATGTACGTGCGTGCCCAAGATCCCGAGAGGAGAATGGAAGAGAAGGGATTGCGGCGTGACCATCTCCCCTGGGGATGATTTCTCGCTTTCTGTCTCTCTGTCTCTCTCTGTCTGTCTGGCGAGTGCACATACCCTATGGCAAAAACTTCTCCAAAAAAAAAGCAAAAGCAGTAATGCAGCTCTCATGCAACACCAGAGAGACGTGAACAGCAGCCGTCTCAACCCGGGCTCATTTCCCAGGCCAGGAAGCCGGTTCGCGAGGCTGGGCCCAGCACGCAGTCTCCAAGAGGCCGATGGATCCTCTTTCGCTGCTGCTTCCTTGTCTGCTGCGAGGTGTCCCGCGTCCCGACAGGAAGCCGGAGACACCTTAATTCTCACAATTACACTTAATCAGAGCAGTCTGCAATGTGTGATTTAAGTCTACATGCTCAAAATACCCTTGGTTTATAGGAATCTGCCTGGTTGAGATAATAATCCTCTAAAGCAGATATTTTAAGTTGCAGGCTACAGGCAAAGGGGCTGTACCCACTTGAGACGAGGAGTGAGTGATTGGAAAGCGCGTCTCCGACGCAGGGTCCTGATTGCATTAGACAAGGGGCATGAAGACTGATTATCGCCGCTGATTGCGCAGAACCCGGGGCTGGAGGTGCAAGAGCGGCGGCGCCTTCCCGGAAACGACAGCACGGACAGGTGAATTCCCACTCCGTCCTCCCGCGGGCCCTCTGTCCTGATTGCGGGGTAAACGGGCTTTTCCCTAATAACCTCAGTCATACGTGGGATGGCGGTTAAAAAATCCTAGACTCGATCTTACCACCCTGACCGAGGAGGGGCTGGCCGGGCCTGACCACGTGGTACGTGATCAATAAATAATTACAGCGGCTTGGCGAACAGGCCTGTGGGCACACGTCGGGGACTGTCAAGACTCGTTTTCCCAGACACCCCACAGCTGCTGGGAGTCGCCATGCATGTTCTAGTGAGTGGAAGGAAACACACCCCATGTGCCACGCAGAGCAGCCCTGGAACCGGCTCCCTGTCTCCACGGGCTCCAACCCCATGGGGGGTGGCTTGTGCTACTTCCTCCCCATCCACCCAGGGCCACCATTATTATCGGACAGTCAGGTGTGGCACTCGCCTGGAAAAACGTGGCCGAGGGAAATGCTGACTGGCCCTTTTTAACAAGGAAGTGGGGGTGGAAGTCTTCACCTCCGTTCTCTAAGGGAAAGCCACTCACAAAATATCGTAATCCTGGTGGGGCAGCAGGAGGTGTGGTGGTTGGGGCACTGGACTCCCACGCGGCAGACCACGGTTTGAGTCTCAGATCGAATGGCTTGCTTAAAAAGCAAAAAGTCAAGCAGATGGAGTAGTGATTAGGTCACTGGACTCCCAAAGAGCTGACAGTGGTTCACGCCCTGGACCTGGTGGCTTGAAACTCACTCCGGGTACGTGTGCATGCGTGCCCAAGATCCTGAGGGGAGAATGGAGGAAGAGGGATTGCAGCATGGCCATCTCCCCACGGGATGATTTCTCACTTTCCTTTTCTCTTTCTCTCTCTCTCTCTCCAACAAGTGCACATTCCCTAAGGCAAAAACCTCTTAAAAAAAAAATATATATATATATAGACATACATATCCTGGTTGTGCCTACATGGCCCCGGGTTAAAGGGGAGGGGTGAGAGGAGGCAATGGTCACTCTGTGCTCTCCGGCTCCTGGGCAATGGCTGTCCCTCCCCATGCCACCCCCACCCCAGGAAGCCATCTCCACCAGCTTCCATTTTTTAGGGGCTGTGGGACACTTAAACGACGGAAATGTATTTTCTCAAATTTCTGGAGGCAGGCAAGTCCAAGACGCAGGTGCTAGCAAATCTGCTTTCTGATGGGGCTCTCTTCCTGGGTTGTGGGGCCCCCATCTCCCTGCGTCAGGAGTTAGAACCCTGCTCACCATGCTCTAGCTTCAGGATGCAAGGGTGAGAAGCCACCCACTCCGCTGCCTAAAAGTGCCCCTGTGCGGCAGGAACACAGCCAGGAGGCCCCTGTGTTACCTCTGGAGCTCTGAGCGGGGCTAGCCAGGACAGGGGAAAGGGAGGAGCATCTGTCCACGGAGCCTGCACGATGCACAGCGCTGGCTGAAAACTTAAAGCCCTGCCGAATCTGGGTAGCTGAGGTGCTAGCATTTGACCCATTTGATGTATAAAAGATCAGACAAGGGAGCATGGATTAGAAATTGCCTAATCAGGGTCGGCAGGGGGCGTGGTGGTTGAGGTGCCGGACTCCCACATGGCTGATCATCGCAGTTCAAGTCCTGGACCTGGCGGCTTGCTTTCTCACTTTCCTTCTGGCGAAATTAATAATAGTAGTAGTAAATAAAATTAAATAAATAATTCTTTAAAAAAAGAAAAGAAACTGCAGAATTTGCATTACTGATAAGGACAAGAGCTTTGAAATTAGTGGAATTCAACACAACCACTGTAAACCTAAGTGGAAGAGGGAAAAACGAATGGAGACTCTGAGCTTGAAAAGGTATCCTCATTTGGGACCAGCAGTTAACGTAATGGCTATGTCGCTGGACTCCCACGTAGTCAACCACGGTTCGTGTCCTGAACCCAGTGGCTTAAAACTCACGCCGGGTGCCTGTGCGTGTGTGCCCAAGATCCCGAGAGGAGAATGGAGGAGAAGGGATTGCGGCGTGGCCATCCCCCCTGGGGGTTGATTTCTCGCTTTCTGTCTGTCTCTCTCTGTCTGGCGAGCGCACGCGCCCCATAGTGAAAACCTCTCAAAAAAAAAAAAAAAGAAAAGGCATCCTCATTTGAGCAATGAAATGGCAAAGCCAAGAAAAGATTCAGACCAAACGGGCAAAACTGATGTCACCACCCACGCTCTGCTCTGGAAAACCAAATCTTGGGTTGTCAGGAAAGTTATCACTCATTCTTGCACAGAAAACCATAAAAAAAATCATGACTTTTCCGATGACCCAAGAGAAGCCTGGAATCACATGGCATCGTGTCACACCTGGAGCTGCGTGACGTCACACAACACGTGCTCTGGTCCCTCCTACCTGAATCGCCAGCGTTCTTCTAGGTCGGCAGGAGAGTCATGATGCATCTTTCTACATTTGTCTAGGCAAAAATGCATCGTGACTCTCCCAATGACCCAATATGTGGTTTTCCAGAGCAGAGGGTGGGTGGTATAACTTTCTCTTTTTTTTTAATTTAATTTTATTTATTCATTCATTTATTTTCATTTGACTGGAGAGAGACAGAGCAAGAGAGAGAGAGAGAGAAAGTAAGTGAGAAAGCAAGCCGCCAGGTCCAGGTCTCGAACTGCAGTCGGCCATGTGGGAATCCAGCACCTTTAACCACCACGTCACCTGCCGGCCCCCAAAGTCTACTCTTTACCAAGCATGGTGTTAGGTACAGGAACACAACACTGAACAAGCCACAGTCCCTGTCCTTCTGGAGTTGGGTTTACCAACATGAAGGGTTTCATACGAAAACAGCCGTCTCTCAGTTGTCGAGTTCTTTATTTTCTCTCCTGCTTTTGATGTTCACGGCACTGACCTCGCCTTTGTCGCTTTCACTGTGAATAGACTTTTAGCACCTCCAACACGACACGTCCTAGTTAGGTCCTGTTTTCTTCTGCTTTTGTGCCTGTGTGTGCTATGTGCATATATGTGCGTGTCAGAGAGAGGCAGAGAGAAAGGGAGAGGGAAAGCTCCCCCAGGAGAGCCACAATCTCTTTTCCACCATCTCTCCCTCCTTTTGGAATTTTGGACACACACACACAAGCACCAGGCACATTTCCAAAGCCGTCTGGTCTGGGACTAGAACCCTGCAGTCAGCCACGTGGGATCCAGCTGCCTTAGCCACCAGGTCACAGAGCTGGTCCAGATTCTGTTTTCTAGACAGAGAGATTTTAGCCAGACTGGTTCCTAAGACAGAAAGGAAGCAAATGCAGTAGAGGGATTTTACAAAATTCGGGCTTCAAAGAAAGAATATACGGATGTATTGCTTTAAATAAACACGGAACAGGAGCACAGGTGATGGGGGGCAGTGGGCAGAGGAGGGGGGGAGAAAGCACAGCCAGCTCCTCCTCGAACACGACTCTGACCCCGCAGGAGGCTGGTCTCTGGGCCGCTCGGTGCTCATCGCTAATCGACGTGCGCGAAGCAGCGGGCATCGCCTGAGCGTTCCGAACGTCCCTAATTGTGACTGAGCAGATGGGCCCCCGAAGATCACACGTCACCCTATGTGAAAGGGTTGCTGGTACATCATTAATTAAAACACCTTGGCTCCCCACCACATTAGACGCACAATAATTATCCTTACACGAAATCTGCTTTATAACACTCCAAATGCGTTGAGCCCTGGGGTGACAACAGAATACAAACAAAAAGACTGGGCTGGGGCTCCTGGCCACGACTGCAGTACCGCAGAGCAGAGTTTAGAGCTCCCCCCTTTGGGAATAGCAAACATTAACAGGCCTGAGAGAGACACACAGCCACTATGGTGATTACGATCATGTAACATTAGCAGCTCCGAAGTTTTCACGAGTCTTTAGTATGTGCTGCGCCCTGAACCATGTGAGTTTCACATGCCCCAAACGCAGGCTCAGTGCCTTGTCTAAGGTCACCGGCCAGAAGGTGTCAGAGCAGAGAATGGAACCCACGCTCTAAAGTCTACACTACGAGGCCGCCAAAGAGGGAAGGTCAGGGTAGAGGAGAAAGGGTCACCTGCAGACTTTCCCAGAGCACAGTTCAGGACATGGAAGGCAGCAGGACCATGGATGTGGACTGCTGGACCACCAGCACAACCCACATGGAATTCCAGAGACCCCCAGACAGGTATGAGAACGCTTGCCTTCTCTGCCAAGACTAGGAAGGTGGAACAGAGAAACGGTAAGACCGCAGGGTGCGTTAAGAGTGATCAAGAGGGTGCCCATCAGAGGAGAGGCAGTGGAGCCCCAAAATGCACACTTTTGTTTTCAGGTTTTCAGGTTTTTCCCATAGGGCACACGTTTTCACCAGGGAGAGAGAGAGAGACAAAGAGAGAGAAAGTGAAAAGCACCCCCCACGAGGGACGGCTACACCATAATCCCTCCTCTTCTATTTTCCTCTTGGGATTTTAGGGATGCACACACCTGTGCCCTGTGCGATTTTCAAGCCACTGGGTCCAGGACTTGAACCGCAGTCAGCCATGTGGGAGTCCAGCACCTTAACCACCACGCCACCTACTGGCGCCAAGGGAGCCCACTCTTACTCTACCTATCCATGTATTGTACATCTCCTGCGTGTCAGCCGCCAACTACCGCCCTGGTCTCCAGCCTCCATGTGTTAGAGAGCACCATGGAGCCCTGGCCGAGGAAGACCTGTGTACAGAACCATGAAGGGTCCTGAGTAGGCCGAGAGGACCAGGTCAGGTGGTGTGCCCCTCGTGCTCCCCCACACAGGTGCAGCCTTCTTGGAACCTGAGCCCTGACTCAGCTGCTCCACAGGGAGGGCAGTTCTGACTCCCAAGTGCTGAGCTGGAACTACTTCGTTGCAAGAACTGAAAGCTCGACAGTCTTTTCCTAGTGACAGAAAAGTGAGAAGCTGTCTTAGTGAGCAGGCACCAGGAGAAATGGTTCTGAAATCTCACGGCCCAGTCCCTCCAGGAATATGAAGGGGCCGACAAGTTTCAACATGGCCTCATTGCTGAAGAACTCAAAAGGGAAAACACAATGCTGTCACCCAGGGAAGTCCATGTGGCTTTGGGCCCCAGCTCTGCTACTTACTAAGTCTACCCAGAAACTTCAAGCAAAGTACTCACCCTCTGCGGGCCTCCGCTCCTCACTCTGCCATCAGGTTTGGGAGCAGCCTACACCTTGCTGGGATCCTGTGGGCACAGAATACACCTCCACCCCAGCTGTGGTGTGTGCCCTGCCCACAGCTCCTTCCGGGGGACTGGTAACAGTCCTACCCACTGTGTGCAAGCCCCAGGCAATGTCCTCCTCCACCAAAACACACACACACAATCAACCTGCTAGTCACATGGACCAGAGCCAAACAGAACCAGAGGCGGAAAACTGATCAGATGGCAACCAATCCCTAGGCTGGCCATCCGCTGTGTTGTGCTTTAAAGCCAGAGGTGACCAATGGCCCATAGCTTAGCCACTCCCACTCTCTCGGGGATTAGAACTAGGAAGAAAAGCTGGCTGGCAGCTGGCAGCAAAGCAGACAGGCCCAAGACAGGACAGCAACGTGGACAGTATCGGATTACAGTAAGGAACAGGCTCCTGGGGTCAAGGTGCCCAGAACTGGGGGGAGAGGGAGGTGTCCACAGCCTTTGACTCCGGCCTTGAGGTGTTCCCGAGGCCTTGCCCTTCCTAAGGCCTAGCTGTTCCCTCGCCCTAGCATGGAAAAATAAAGCCCCTACTACCCCAGGTCACTGGAGGCATTGCCTGTTCTTTGTAGCCAGATGAGACGGAAGCATGACACACCTGTGCAAGAGGCCACGTGTGGGCGAAAACTCGTACACCAGCTGCTTTGTGGGACCTCCCTGAGCAGACTAGGAGGGAGAAATGGGCTGATCCGTGTCTGGGAACGGCTGGAGATGCCTCTCCCAGGCGTGGGCTACCAAAGGAGACAACCGGGGCGGGGGTGAGCACGGCCGTGATAAACACAAGGCGTCTTTTAGAGGGTCTGAGAAGAGCAATACCAGAAACAATCTCCAAAACCCTGCGTACTTTTGCTTCCTTCATAGCCTCCTTTGAGGGGGGGAAAATTATTCTTCTTAATACTTTCCAAGATTGAAACAAAGCCAAATGTCACCGGTTTTCCCTTTGAGACAAGATTTAATTAAGGAATGAAAAAACCAAAGACGATCCAACCTCCGTGGAATAAAAAGCAAAGTGACAACAAAACATAAAAGCGTCCCTCTGCCCCCACCCAGATCCATCGTTTTAGAAAGTGACAGTCAAAATGGCAAGCTCTATCCACCCTGCGGAAGCCATGCCACACCGCCTTCCCCAGTACCCGCCTCCTTCAACCCTGGCCTCCAATCCCATGCCAGGTTTTCTGGAACGCCTTTGGGGGCCTTTGGCATTTTAGCGTCTATTTTATTACCCGGCTTGAAACCCGATTTGTTCCACTCGGTGTTTTCCGGCTTAGCTCTGTGAGTCCTGTATTTTGGCAGGATGGACAATGGCTTCAGCAGACGCCCCCATGCATGCTTCACAGCTACCTGCTTCAGTGCCCCTCTCAAATCTGCACGGGACAGAGGACGCTGGATTACCACCTATTTTAAAGAGGCAGCAGAAAACCACCCCTGCACAAATCAAACCTGGGGAGGAAACGGGGCTCTCTACAAGCCGAAGTATGATTTATCCAGACTTATTTTCCAGCAGATTCAACTAGGCTTAAAAACCGTTGTCCCTGTTAGCTTTTTTTTTAAAACCATCAAAAGAACCAGGTTCAAAAGCAGTAGCCACACTGATTATAAAGTGATGAGCTATAAGAATGCGTCTCTCACAGGGGCGGGAGAGTGGAGGGTTTGCGGAATAATTCAGATCGGGATCCACTGGCCTGGGTCCACCCGATACGTTATGAGGATAGTTCAGATGACGACACGCGAGCTTCTGGTGGGCCCTGCGTGTTTTCATTCTCTTCTCTCATCGTACAAGGTTCGATGCCTTCCTGGCCTTGAGAGGCAGCTCAAGGTGAGAAGCAGTGAATCACCGGCAACTTCACTGAGTGCTCTTTGCAGTCTATAAATAAAAGCAGGGCTTTGGAAGCTGGTAGACCTTTCTTAGGTCTGAATACCTCAAGGTTACGCACTTCTAAGCCTCTCTAAGAAAAAGTATAAACACCAGCCAGAGAAATGTGATTTATAATTAACAACGGGGCTTATACAGAAAAGCTCACGTCTTCATGGCCAGGGCATATACTGCGGTATTGTAGACCTTTAACTTCTCACGCTCTGTGTTATAAAAAAAAAAAAAACCAACAACAACAAAACTAAAACTTCAAAAAAAAAAAAAAAAAAAAAAAAACAAACCGACAACAACAAAACTAAAACTTAAAACAAAAACCATTCATTTTTCAGCATGGTCGACAAGTGTAGGGACATTCAGCAAAACATTAGTTTCAAGAAAACACTTTGCCCAAGATCCCGGGAGGAGCATGGAGGAGAAGGGATTGCGGTGTGACCATCCCCCCTGGGGGGTGATTTCTCGCTTTCTGTCTCTATGTCTCTCTCTGTCTGTCTGGCGAGCGCACGCGCCCTACAGTGAAAATCTCTCCAAAAAAAAAAAAAAAAGAAAACACTTTGGATCCCAATTACTTTACATGACGGAATGATTGTTGTGCACTAGTAAAATGGGCAGAATAAATTTAATCCCTTTTATGTCACAAAGAAATTACAGTTCAGTTATGCAACAAATAGCAAGTGATGTTTTTTTAGGAATGTGAGGTAAGTGGAAGTGGGGATTTCCAACTTGTGGGGGGTATCTGCCCAGAGCCTCTTCTCTGTACCCCAACGCCTGCAGCCCAACGGTGAGCCCTGACTGCCCACTGCCGTTACGGGAGCCAGGCTGCACCGCCTCCTACCTTTGCTGACTGGGCCGAAACTGGGCTCAGCCAATCAGATTTCTCCCCTAGGAACCTAAGCCAGAATCGGAAAATGCTGACTGTATTTCTCTGGTTGCTTCAATGACTGAGACTTGTACTCTGAAGCTACAGAGTAGCCAAGTTGAGACACATGGAGTGAAAGTGGTTTAGTGAGAGAAAGAAAGAAACAGAACCGAGTGCTAAATTGTTTTTTTAAAGATTTATTAAATTTTATTTTTATTATTATTACTCTTTTTTTAATTTGCTAGAGGGCACACGTGCTCACCAGACAGAGACAGGGAGAAAGAGAAAGCCACCATGTCCGGGACACGAACCACCGTTGGCCATGTGGGAGTCCAGCTCCTTAACCATCTTACCACCTGCCAGTCCCCAACTAAACTACTCTTCTAACTCCAGATTTGAGTTCCTTCTGAGGCCCATCTGAGCCTGAGTTCCCTAAGATCCCAGAATCCTTTCAATGGGTTTCCCTTTTCATCTCATCTGGTCGATTTCTCTCCATTTAATCAGGGTCAGAGCTGCGTAAGCATGAGATGAGGATCAGACAATGTTAGCAAGATCCTCCTGCAAGGAAAAACAAAATACGACAATCTTTGAAAGTCAGAGCCAGAAACCCCAAGGGGTGAGAAGGGCTGAAGCGGACGCGCCATGAAGGCTGCGTCCCAACTTTGTCACGTAGCTATCATGTTAA